CTTTTACTTAGTTATTTTTAAAACCTAAAAATGATACTTTTACTTCTTTCCTTTAAAGATTAACACCTAATTACTTGTTAAAAATTAAATCTGGCTGAACTCATCATCAAAAGGAGTTGTTTATGTGCTCTAAAAATTAAATGTTGAATTTACTCAACTAAATCAGATCAACTATTTCCACTAAACCTAGTAGAGTAAATTTGAGGTGATAAACATATTTTATTTTAAGGAAATTGATCAGTTTAATCAACTTGGTTTTGTGGAGCCAGTTTATTTGTTAGAGTGTGTAAAAGTACTTTTACTTTCCCAATTTTTGTGAACAGTTTTCTCATCAATGACATTTATTTTTACCAAAGTCATTTTCTGTTCATGTAATTTTACTTTTACTTAGTTATTTTTATAGATGATTACTATAACTCGGTATAAAACCTGTGCAGTCACCTCTCGTATTTATCCTTCTGTTCAAACCAACAATTACAGAGCCAAAACTCTCCTAAAAGCTTCCTGAAGAAAAAAGCCCAACAAACAGATTCCACAGTGAATAAAGGCACATGTATCCTGGGGTGGGACACTCTGACACAATAACTGCAGGTTTAAATGCAGAACAACGTAAAACCCTCTGTTATTTAGCACTGGTTTCTGTTGACTTACTAGAAGATATTGTTACAAATTGGAGTGAAATGTACACCGCTGCCTTACGGAGGCCCCTGTGAACACAGGAAGCTGCAAACGACACCTTGTTTTGTTGTCCAGCATCTGGATAATCAGGTATTTAAGACTCGGATTTGGAAATTTCCTTTTTTTAAGATCTTAGTTTGAAACAGTGGCATGAAAGGTGGCGGGAGATACACATTTCTTCAAAGAATGTCCGACTTTAATTAGGATTAAATAAAAATGACTGTGAGAACGCCTTCACTCTGGAGCAGAGGTGGATCTGCATGTTGTGTGAGTCAAGCAGTTAAATGTTAGTTTAGCTAATTTCTGGCTAAATCTAATCTGTTAAATCTATCGTGTGAGGTTATTTTGAATTTTGTGGCAGAAAACATTTACAAAACAAAACAAAAAAAAAAACTAAGTCTGTGTTTGAGAACTGAAGAGAGCAGCTGCTGGAGGATTTGTACACATTCTGCACTGATGGTGCCAGAGGCATTCATGTACCCCCATACCATCAGAGAGGCAGACTCAGTCCAGATGATCCCTCTTTGTTTTAATACAGAGGACACAGCGTCTGTTTCCCAAATATAAAAAAAATCAATTAAATTAGGATTTGCCTAATCACTAAATAGTTTTAAGTGAACTTCGGTCCAGAGAAGCCAGCAGCATTTCTGGATGCTGTTCACGTGACTTTTTGTTTTGCACGATAAAGCTTTAACCAGAGTTTGTGGATGGCACAGTGATTTGTGTTGACAGACAAGGATTTGGGAAAGTGTTTCTGAGCTGACGCAGTGAAGTCCAGAACAGAACCGGACCAGTTTTTAATGCAGCGACCATTAAAGGCCGCCAATATTCAGCTTCAGTTAGTTGTTTTGATTTTCTCCAGATTCTTAAAACCTTTTGATGAAGTAATGAACTGTAGAAAACGGGATACTCAAAAGTCTTACCAATTTTCTGTAAATGAACATTATTCTGAAGTTGTTCCTTTATTTTCTAACAGTTTGTTGTGAAACTCTTCCTGTCTTCAGAGATGCAGTCTGTCTAAAACAGGGGTTCTTAACCTTTTTGGCCTCGGGGCCTGATTTATTGAATACAAAGTGGCACAAGGCCCAGTCAGACATTACCAATGTATAGATCAAAATGATAATTATTCTAATCTAAATCTTGGTTTAATTTTTATTTATTTAAATCATAACTAAACTATAATAACTAACATAACTAAATTAAATACACTTACAGTTTAAAAGTAAAACTTATGT